GGACCTGGGGTTGTTCAGCCTGGAGAAAAGGCTTTCTCACTCTCTACAGCTGCCTGAACGGAGGTTGTAGTGAGGTGAGGTCGGTCTCTTCTCCCAAGTTATTAATGATAGGACAAGAGGAAGCGGCCTCAAGTTGCACCAGGGGAGGTTTAGATTGGATATTAGGATAAAATATTAGGATATTAGGAAAAAAATTCTTAACTGCAAGAGTGATGAAGCACTGGAACAGGCTGCCCAGGGCAGTGGTTGAGTTACCATCCCTGGAGGTGTTCAAGAAACCTGTAGACGTGGCACTTCAGGACATAGTTTAGTGGTCATGCTGGTGTTGGGTTGATGATTGCACTTGATGATCTTACAGGTCTCTTCTCACCTCAAATATTCTATAATTCTATGATTAATCCCATTGGGAAACCAGGTGACATAATCAGAAACCAAATGTACATGCTTCTCAAGGAGATACAGTTAATTTTTGAATGCTTCTGCTGCATCTATCACAACTTTCCCATACGCAAGAATATTTGCCTTCCCCTAAAGTGAGAGTGGCTTAATAGCAAAAAATATAGTACGAAATAAAAACCCTGAGTTCTTCTATTCCCCTTTGTTTTCTAGCCGTTAGTATTCCTGCTTTGGGGTTATTCTGCAATAATCATAATAATTAGATTGTTTCAGGTTTTTTTAAATGATGAGCTCTTTTCTCCAGAACTGAGAGGATGATGCCATGAGAGAAGTAAAATATGCCAAAAGATGCACACTAAGATCTCGTGTGTTGGCCTCGCTCTGGTAATTAAGGCTGGCAGGGAATACTTTGAGATAACTTTTCCTATCAGAAAATGCTCGTTTGTCAAAACTGAATTTGTTTATGGGAGAGGGTAGAGTTTGAGAGATTTCTCAGCAGAAATGTTGTAAACAGCTCTCAAAATTGTCTAACTGACGTATTCCAAAACAGCGTAAAAACAAATTTCCTTTTCGGTTTCCAACCTCTTCAAGATAAATGTAAACTAACGATTGAAAACTGGAAAAGAAAAATTAAAGAGTCAAAATCAGACTGGAAGATCCTAATTTGAAATTGTTGATTTGAGCTGATCTAGTTTTTGAACAGCTGTTTCGTGACATATTAACGGATTTTTATCTTCCTGCGAAGTTAAGAGGGGACAAAACTTCCAACCCTGTCTTGGAATGGGTGCACGGTTTCCCACCCAGCTCTGATGATAATGCCAAGAAGTCCAAATCTGATACTTTAATATTTTATATGCACTGAATAACTTTTTTCCACTGTCTTAAAAGTTCTATTTTTAGCCTTTCAAGAATGCAGAGCCCAAATATATATTTTTAGATTTCTCCTCTCCCAGTGCGTGGAGGAAAAAGGTCATGTAACGGGTTGAGTGCCGTGATGCAAGGCCGCTGCTCTGGCATTTCTTTCTGCTGAAGCTTTCAGGCTCATCAAGGACAGGACCCACGATGAGCGTGTCCTTATCAACACAACCAAACCTGCCCTGCTCTCTGTCCCCATCCTGGGACCTGCTGTCCTTAGGGGAGCTCAGCACCCAGGAGCTGGGTGAGGAACACGCACCTTCCTCTCCAGCGATGAGGTTTCCGAGTTGGTGGGTGCAAACTGGAGGTGTGCGGAGGGGGAGGAGGCTAAGCAGGTATTTACGTTTCGAGAGGCCCATTGTTAAACATGAATATTTTAGTGATTGTACACTTCGTGGCACAGAGCTTTGCTGCCAGCTCCAGCAATCCTGATGGATTGAACTGACATTTCCATTACACGTGTCTGCATTAAGCCCCCTTTTTCTTTGCCCTCAAATGAATTTACTGTGAAATGTGTTGGCAGGGTTACTGTAGCTGAAAAAAAACTCCGTGATTGGAAATGTACTTTTCTGTCAAAAAAGTTGTCACTGCCTCTTGGCAAATTAATAGTTTCCCTTCTGTTTTCTCAGCTCCACACCTTTCTCCCATGTTTTGGAGTTTGATGGGTTGTTGGTTTTTTTTATCTTCTGGGTACTCCAACACCTCTTCCCGAAAAGAACAAACTCCTGTTTGCAAATGTTTTGAAAGTCAATTTTCTGAGAAGTAGCAAAGGAAGCCTGTCTTGAATCTTTCCAGACACGTTACATATTTTTCTGCTGCTCAGCATCCCAGCTCCGTATCCTCTTTAACATTTGTGAAGTGCTTGGAAAATGGTTCCTGCACCAGTGCCGACCTTCGCTGTTTTACTTTGTTCTCCTGGCCACCTGGTCCACAATATGTACATCAAAGGTCTTCGTTTCACATGAGGAGGGTTTGGAAGCAGGCTGGCTTAGTGCAAAGCAAAAAAAAAAAAAAAATCAAATGAGCCTTTTAATTTCTTTCCCTCCCTCCAACCTCTCTGTTTCAAAGACACTCCAAAAACAATCTGTACATTGAGTGAACAGAAGTGTTTTTATTACAGAAATCCTCCCCCTTCCACATGGATTGTCGTAAGGGCTTTTTGGACATCTGCCTAATCTCAACATTTTGGCCTGTAAGAAAACAAGCAACAGATAGTGTGTTTGTTTGGCTCCTGGTTCTCCAGTCATCTGGAAGTGCCTTATTTGCCGCTTGCATCCGTAATTTCTTTTCCAGCCAGCTCTTCAAAACGCTCATTAAGGCTCATGGGGAAAAGAGGAAAAAAAAAAATCAAAGATGCATACTTGATTATTTAAATCAATCCCTTTTTCAGATTGTTTCTACAGCGTTTATTGAGCTTAGCAAAATTTGTATCAAATCCTTTGCACGTCCAGCTTGAAGCAGAGCAATCCCCAGCACAACCCCAGTTATGTCCAAAACACTCAGGACCCCTGGGATCTGGTATTAGTTAAACTTTACTTTCATACCTTCCTTTTTCTTGCAATTGTGATTCGTGTGCCAAATGCACACCGTATTGCTTGGGGACTGTAGCAGGTGTGTCCTTCTCTAGAGCGCAGTGAAGGCAAACAAGGTGAGATCATCAAATGCTCTGAAGTTAAGGGGGGAAGCGACGCTGATCCCAAGCAGATCTAGGAGTTAGCCAGCCTCGTCATTATTTCCCCCAGTGGATGAACTTTCAGATACTATTCCTAATAACTGTGCCATCAAAACCACAGGAAGACTTAAGAGTCTGCTGTCAAAGGGATGCAGGAATGATGTCCCGTACGGCTGCGTTTTCCATCGTGTCCCCTTTAGTGTCAGTTGTCTTTCTGTCCTGTCCTAGGACAATAGTTTGTTGCTTGGAAACAGCAGTTTTCTCACCGTCCATATACTTTTTTCTGAGAGACTTGTGTAAATTACCCAAGCAAAGCAGCCTTGTATCCGTACTCTTATTTTCACTGTAACGTACCTTGCAGGTAGTGTGGAGGTTGACTTTAAATGTCCCTATAAAAGATGACACATGACTTTACACTGATTTAGTACTCAAACTACACCTTCTTCTGAAAAATGCCAAGAAAACTCAGGATGGAGGTGGAGGTGCCATGGAAAAGGCAGAGGGTATGTCCAGAGCCTCTTCCACGAGCATCTGCTAAATGACCGTGCTGTTCGTCCTGGCTCACATAGCTCTGAATTTAGTCTTCAGCCATCGGTCCTTTTGAGAGTCCTCAGGATGAGAAGTATTGTGGCTGAGATGTTTGGAGCTGACTGTGGGACTTTCCATTGGGCTGGAGCATCTCAGCTTCCATTAGTGTGTTTTTGCTCCTGCTCTCCCTCCACCTGCCTCAGACCAGTGCCTGGCTCCTGCTAACAAAGGGCAGACGTGGAGCTGGCTTTAGTTTGGGCCATTTGGTCACTGCCAACGCTTCTGTTTCAGAGCTGGGAAAGTAGAGAATTGGACTGTGGTTGGAAGTGGAAAGCCGAGCTTTGGTACACGCTTCCTTCAAGGACCATTAAGACCAAATCATCATTTTAGCCAGGCACCGTGGGCTCCTCCTCTGTGCCTTCTCCAGGGCAACCCTGCTTGAGAGATCAAATAATCTGATTTATGCTTCTCTTCCCTTCCAGATGTCAACAGCTGGCTGCTCACCTTCGGGTTCCAGCTACACAACGTCATCCCTGGCTACCCCAAGCCAGACATGGATGCGATGGAGCCGTCCTATGAGCTAATCCACACCCAGATGAAAACCCAAGAATGGGACAACAGCAAGGTGATCTGTGCAACTCCATCCTGTACCTCACTCCCTTATCAGCAAACTTGCCGCCTTTACGTAAAAACCCTCTATTAGTGCGTTTCCCCAGATATACTGGAAGATTGAGTCAGTCCCCATTAACAGTAATGAAATCTGACTGAATATCCCATTTTAAGTTCCTTACTGCCATGGTGCTTCTTCCTATGGCATTTTCTGGTGGTTGCTCAATGAAGGGGACTGGTTAGCTCAGTCAGTAGAGTGTAGCACTAACAACGCCAAGGTCACGGGTTCGATTCCCATTCGGTCCCCATGTGTTGCCTGATCTAGTCAAGAGGTGGCGTCCCTGGCAGCAGGGAGGCTGAATTAAAATGATCTCTAAGGTCCCTTCCAACTTAGACCATTCTATGATATAGGAAACAGTGTGTTACTGTTTCTTTCTCCATCAGGAGACCATGTTAATGCATATTGCAGGCTAAGTTTAAGGCCTTTGCACCAAGGATTTCTGGAACAAAAAAAAAAAAGCAAATCTTGATACAGAATCTCTTTCTACAGATTTTTCACTTCTAGAAACTTATTCAGTCCATTTTAAAATGTCTTAAACAACAAACCCGAGTACTTCCCTAGGAAACTGTTCTGCATTGCAATGAGTTTCACCAGAAAGAAGTTTTAGATGACAGTGAACTTTCATTTCAACCTGACTGAGTTTAATCCCAAATCACCACGTCTTGCTTTTAAAACCAGGTGTGCATCACAAGCCATTTTGGTAGATGCCGGCACAAAATTCATTGATGAAATCAGGAAGAAAAAACCTTTTGCAGTTCAATCATTTTCCCCCGTTCTTCCTGCTGGGAATTATTCAGGTGAAAGATGGAGGCAGTTAAAGGTTAGCACACTGGGTCAGGATCTGAGAGCCTGAGGTTACTCCCAGCCTTACTGCTCTCGGTTGTATGGCCTTGAAATCAAGTCATTCACCTGTCAGGATACTCTCTCATCTCCTACCCTGATTTTATTCTGGGGTTGCTTTCATGTTTTTAATCCAAATCCTCCTTCATCTGAATTCCTGCTTGTTGTTGCTGTGCATTCAAACATCACGACAGCAGTGAGGCACCAGTACGCTTGGGGAGATCAGAGTGTGCTCTTCACATTTTTGCTAATAAGATGATAACAGTACGAAGTGGAATTGATTCCAGCTGCCCTCCGCACCTCTTTATCTATGAGTTCGCTGAAATTTCACTGTCCTGCAGCAGATTCTTGAGGTCCCCTACGCATATTAAACTGAGAGATGAAATACATTTCTCGGAGCACTCAGAGGTGTGAACAAGATACTGTGCATTCATAAAACAGTCGTGTGTCAGCCCATCCTTGATACTCAGCCTCATAGCGATGGTGAAGACAAGCTAAAATGTACCAGCTTCAGCTTCAACGAGAGATTTGCGTTAAGACTTTACATCACTTAGAGTAGGACCAAATGCACTATGCCTTTTGCTACTACCATGGCTGAGCTAATGCTTGAAAACCATTACGGCGCAGTATCCTGTCGTGTTTTGGAGCCCAGCGACTCCTTTTTTTGTTTCTCACTTCCTTGGATTAAACAATAAAACGCTAGCAGAGATAATTTCTGTAATGAGAAATAGCCTCGGGATTTTTCCTCCTCTCTGGTGTGACGCTGTGTATCCAGGCAAAGCTGTACAGAAGGCAAACAGGGAAGGCTCATTCAGAGACCGCACAAAAGATTGTCTCTGAATTGTTTTGTGCAGTAGATAACTCTCATAGAACCATAATAGAAATTATAATTATTTGTGATATTATTATTATATCACTATTTCATCATTAGTTCTTTATTATTATTAGACTTCTTGAATAGCCAAGTAACTTGAGTGACAGCTTGGGATGAGGACTGACACTCGCTCGTACAGGCAGCTGAGCTGGAAATAAAACCAAGGAGCCCTTCCTTTCCATCCACCCAGTTTTAGGTGGATCTTCCTGAATGAGGAATAAGAAGAGAAGAAAATCTCCATATCCCCTTCAGGTTTTTAAAACAAGAAGCTTCAGTGAGGACCTGTTTGGTGAAAGAGGGCTTCACACAGCTGTCGTGCTTCCAGATGAGTCGCTTTACGCTGAAGTGTTGAAAGGGGGAATTTAACCATTGCAGGCTGTTTCCTGTTCTTCCCTGGTGTTATGACAGCAACAAAATACGAGCGTTTTTATTTTAGTCTACAGTTGCAGGATCATGCTGTGATAGCTGGAGGCTCTCGAATGCGATAGAGCAGGATTCCTTTCCTTTCTGTCATACTCAACATATTGTAGGCATATATTTGCATAAAATAAATTCGTTCACATAGAATGATAGAATCATGGAATGGGTTGGGTTGGAAGGGCCCTTAAAGATCATCTATTTCCAACTCCTGCCACAGGCAGGGACACCTCCCTCTAGACTATAGTACCTGACACATGATCCATTTTTAACTAAGCCTGTCCATGCATCCCACACCGATGCTTCACATGTAGTTCTGTTCACTCCCAGCCCTCCCAGTCACACGGACACACTCCCAGAGACAATCCAGCCCTCCTTCTTACCAGATATCTCTGCATTTATTGATTAGACACATGGAAAAAGATATAAAATATTGGATATTTCACATAGCAATTGACAGAATTAAACAAAGTTAAATGGCAGCACAGGAAATACAACAAGGTCCATTCTGCTTGCAAGCCAGGGGCATTCACTGAATGATGTACCACAGCTTTCTCATCTCCCTGTCTTCCAATTCCTGATTTCTCTGAGTCATAAGCCTCCTTGCGATAGACTCAAAGTAAATTTGAGTTACTCCTCTGGCTTCACTGATCAAAGCCGTGGCAGAGCAGATTGAGTCAGTTCTTTTATCAGAGGGGAATGAATAGCAGGAGCACAACAGCAAAGCAAGTAACTCCACATAGACAGCTGCTCGTCAGTGCATCACCAGAGGGCCCTCGCATCTCCTTCCAAAACATTGCTGGGACTTGCCTGGCAGGGCTTGGGAGATGGGGGACATAATTCTGACTTGGAGCATCCACCAGCTCAAAACTAGCTAGCGTGTCTTAAACCTCGCGCTGACCCCCCTGCAGCTTTGCGGTGATATTTCAAATCCAATTCTCACTTGTACAGCACTTTCCCCTCCTCCCCTCCCTCCTCCCTGCAACCATGAGGCTGTCACTAAATTATTTGTAGAACAAGTTCAGTGTTATTGGCCATCAGGGGACTCTGGGTGACCTCTGGCATGTTGTGGAGCTGCTGCACCTGATTCCAATTTCTATTTTTGTTGTTGTTGGGGTTTTTTTTTCTTCCCTTTTGTCTTGTTGAACCGTCAGGTAATTGGAGCCAGAACAACCTATTTGCAGGGAGGGGTGTTTTGGAGTGGGCGCTTACATCGTTAACTACATCGTGTTATTAACTACCCTTCTCTCCATCCCATGAGCACCACCATGCCTGCAGGCAAGGTCCTGTCTTTGGCAGTGCCTGTTACGGGCTGTGCTGGAGGAGCAGCTTTTGGCATCCCTTATGAAGCAGCATTTTGGAGACAAGGGCTGCTCGGGGACGCTCAGCCAGGGAGGGAGCTGCAGGGCTGTGCTTCCTGGCACAGCTTCTCCCAAGGACAATCTGTCAGAGAGCACTGCTCTGCCAGCGCTCATCATTCGAGGAGGGCATCCTCGCCGGGTGGATGCTTCGTCCTGGGCTCGGGCCATCATGTTGCCAGCCCTTGGTTATGTTTTGCGAAAGTTGTGGCCAGTTTTTACTGGATCTGATGCAGGGACAGGAGTTAAAGTCTCCAAGACGTTAATCCCTTGAAGCTTTATGAGAATAGACAGGCAAGAGAAGGAGACAAATCCTCTTATTTCCCCACAGATGGAAATCTCCTTGATGAGCTCATCTTCGTTATCCCCCCGCAGCTGTGTGCACTGGCAGGGCAGAGGAGAGGCTTCTTCCCTAAGCCCGAGAGTTAGCACTTGTGTATCGCTCCTTGCCAGCCAATCAGCGTTACAGCACTGGCCTTGCTGGCCAATCACTTGCCTCTGTGGACCCACTTGCATTTGTGATTGGTGGGTTGCTAAGCAGGCACGTTGCCTCTCAGCCAACCAGCGTGCAATGAAGCCGTGCTGAAGGGGAGGTGCCCAGGAGGCTGTTGTGGTTGATGGGTTCCTCCTGCACCTCCACCAGCTGGGAGTTGGTGGGGCACATCCAAATGGGGACTCGTCCTCAGGTGATGGCCAAGAGGAGTAGAGGGAAGAGGCTAATTTCATAGAATCATAGGATGATTTGAGTTGGGAGGGACCTTAAAGATCATCCAGTTCCAACCCCGCTGCCATGGCAGGGACATCCCCCACTAGATCAGGTTGCTCAGTGCTCCATCCAGCCTGGCCTTGAAGGCTTCCAGGGATGGAGCATCCAAAACCTCCTTGGGCAATCTGTTCCAGTGCCTCTCCACTCTCAGGGTAAAGAACTTCTTCCTTAGATCTAGTCTAAACCTATGCTCTTCCAGCTTCCACCCATTACCCCTCGTCCTATCACTACAGGCCCTTGTAAAGTCCCTCCCCAGCCTCCTTGTAGGTCCCTTCAGGCACTGGGAGGCTGCTATAAGGTGTCCCTGGAGCCTTCTCTTTTCCAGGCTGAACAAACCCAGCTCTCTCAGCCTGAGAGAGGTGAGGTGTTCCAGCCCTCTCTCCGTCTTGGTAGCCCTCCTCTGGACTCGCTCCAACCGCTCCATGTCTTTCTTGTGTTGAAGTTTCCAGAGCTGGACCCAGCACTGCAGGTGGGGTCTCACAAGGGCAGAGCAGAGGGGCAGAATCACCTCCCTCGACTTGCTGGTCACACATCTCTTGATGCATCCTGGGATATTTCTGAAGAATGGTTTTGTTAACAGAGAGCTGAGAGGTAAAGAGGAAGGAATTAGCGGTGAAGATTATTTTGGAGAAGTCATAACTTCCAAGCCTTATGGTAGAAGTGGTTCTCTGTGTTCTAAACCCTGTGGTGGTAAGAGAAG